GACACACCCCTGCAGGATTGCAAAAAAAGCAAACTAAATTACTGTCAAGTTGCTCTGCTTAAACCACACAAAGAAACATATGCTTGTAGGTTGAATGTGAAAAAACAGGAATGGAAAGAAATATATGACCCAATGCAAGGAATGGAAAGAAATATATGACCCAATGCAAGGAATGGAAAGAAATATATGACCCAATGCAAGGAATGGAAAGAAATATATGACCCAATGCAAGGAATGGAAAGAAATATATGACCCAATGCAAGGAATGGAAAGAAATATATGACCCAATGCAAGGAATGGAAAGAAATATATGACCCAATGCAAGGAATGGAAAGAAATATATGACCCAATGCAAGGAATGGAAAGCAGTAAAGTGTAGAACTCCATCAGTTGGTAATGAATTAAAAGGAAATTATCTTCGATTAATTTACCATGTCACATACAAAACATGAATAATATTGATAATTAACCACGACACAGACAAAACATGATAATATACGCACACATTAAAAAAATACACAGTGCTCAACACTGGATGGTATAGTTCTTACAGGGGAACTCTCCTGGCCAAATATCTTGAGAGGCACAAAAATTGCCCCCTGAAACACCTGCTTATTTCTGAAAATGACCCGTACAAGACACAGCTCGTGGTGGAAGGTCATTCGGAGCGATGATCATCTTGTTACAGTGCATTGCTGGTCTCAACACACTGTGGCCCTTTCAAGGGTGAGCATTAGATCACTGTGAATAATAAACGCTTCCTGTCTTGTCTTATATCCATATCACATGGGTGCTCCTGCATTGTGCATGTCGCAGCATTTTGTTGGAACTGAGTTAGAAATTTAACCACAGTGCAAGAACTTGTCTTCAGTGGCCATGTTCCTGCTGAAGTAGCCACGCTTGGCTTGTATGCCAAACTCTACACACAAAAGTACAGCACCACTGAGCAGTCAACGCACAGTAAGTGTCTGATAATAAGAGTTGAAGTAATTGTTTCCCCCAGTGACCCAGCTGAGAGAGGTTGCCAGCTCTCCCTGATGTTCAACACAACCATAGATGATGTACTTACCCAGCTATTCAAGAGAGGAGTCTTGGTATGTGTACCTCTGCCGTTTTGTACTTTACACTGACTGCGGTATGAATTAAAGCAGACTTGTGCAGACGGTCCTACTTTGCTTAAATGTATGATTTCATTAAAACGGTCACTGAAAAATAAGTATTTTAGAGGTGTTTCTCGATGTGGAGCTGTCAAACATGGATTCATGAGCCATTTGCCCCCCTGGCACTGTCAGCAGTTAAACGTGCATGCCATCTTGAAGAACGAGTTGTAGGTTTGAGATTTGAAGCTTTTCATGGTGGAGGTAGCAAGTAAATTAGCCAGGTTTGGAGAGGTTGGATCCTGAATTAGCATCCTCTCCACACCTCATTGCCCTCTACACACCATACAAGTTGCCTCATCACTGGACCCTCTGCAGTCTCCTGACAACGGACAGAGCATACCATCTGAAACTTTGAGTACCACTGGTTCTTTTCAGAACTCCACATACTCAAGAAAAAGGAGCTATATCCATGGTGCTACCGCACACCTATGTTGTGTACGTTGTAGGTTCGTATCGGAATGCTTGCCAGCGCTGCTCTGAGCCCTGAATCTTGGGCAGATTGATTGATTGATTGACTGATCCATGGTTTATTGTAAATTGCAGTGTAGCACGTAGGCTAAATTGCAGCAAAATTTACATTAAATCAAGTGATTATTATAAACAGCCAATAATAAAACTCTACAATATTATAAAACATTTAAGTTGGTTTAAAGAATGAAAATGTTTATCAAATTAACCATTTAACCATACTAACTTACAGGTCATTAAGCAATAGTTACATATTGAATTACTAAAAAATAATTACCAAAATATATACATAATGCAAGCCCCATGGAAACATGAAAACATCAAAACCAGCAACCAATTGGGAAAATAAAATTACTTACATAGCAGACATACATACTTGATGTTGTAGTTTGTTTTGGGCTGTTCGGTTGACAGTGCGACGAAAGGAAGCCTAATGTCATTCGCATCGCTCCAACTCCCCTCTACACCAAGTTTGAGGATGTGTGGCGGATGATCCAGGCACTGCGCGATTCTCTCGATGCAGTCAAACAACAGAAGTGTGGGCGGAGCTTGGATGAATTAGACTGAATGTGGGATAATGCCCCACTGGGCTGAGCAGAACACAGTATGTGGAAAATTTTCTGCATTACTTTATATGCCATCACTACCTCAAAGCTTCACCTTTTGGAAACTGTGTAATGTAATGAGGCGGAAAAAAGTTTCTTGTCGGGTTTGTTTGTCTTTTTCATTTTTTAAAGGCAGCAATTTAATGATTTATTTTTATGATGGCAGAGATTTCCTAAATGGCAGATAAATTTTTGTGATGCCTGTGCTGATTATTTTGTGTCTGAAGGAGTGCTCAACAGAGGTTTTAAACTTGTAAGTGTAGCTAAAATTTTTATTAGAAAGAAATGAATGGTGAAAAATTTGTGGTAAATTTACGCCCTCCTTCACCAATTTAAATCGAAGCAAAACAAAAGTGGTGGGGAGAAACAGAAACAGATGGAGAACTGCTTTTTTTTTTACTTGGCCTTGCATGTCTACATGCACATTTAAAGTATGAATTCCCTGAATGATGATATCATGAGTTGATAAACTATTATTTGTGAATCAAGGATAAAAATCCCTCCAATACGGCAGTTCAGGCTTAAAGTAATTTCATATAATTTGTAGAGTGTTCACATTTTTATCATGGTTATGCCTAATCAAATTTTACTTTCAACTTGTCAGAAAATGTTGAAGGACAGAAGAAAGTATTTTGATGGCAAGGCCTATGTGGCTAACTTTGATGCATTTTTCAGTACCTGTCTGTTGATATTGATGATTAATAAGGAAATAAATATGTGCTTGGCCGGTCTTAAACGTGCATTTACATGTAAGACTGACTCAAATGGACATGAGGGGAGGGCATTATCAGCATTCATTCTCCTGATCCTGCCTTTAACATTAGTTTAAGACTGACAAAGCAGGTATTTATTCCCATTCATAGATATCTTTTTTTCAGAGAGTTAGAAGAAGTCAATGTATGATAGATTTCCAACGATTTTGTTCTAGAATTTTACTTGCATTAGCCGGAACACCCCCATCCATTGTATGGTATATTCCTTGTGCAAGTAGTCCAGAAGAATTTCCATATGTGGACTTGACGTGCGCAAGGCAAGCTCTGTGTGCTGTGAGGCACACACTCTTGACCAATAGAAATGGATTAAACCGTCTCTTATCCAGGTGTCAGAGCGTTTTTTTACACAGTGGGCGTTTTCATATTGTATCGGGCAATATCAAATGTTAATACTCGGTCACATTGCACGTTGTTGAATAAGGAGAATGTCTGAGGTACGGGTACACGTATTTATGAATTATGAATAATCTGAAGTGTGCATTTCTACTTAGAGCAGAAATTGGTGACTAGAAAGAAGGTTAAGAGGTGAAAGGTCATGCCAAGCTTTCTGGTACCAGTGGTAATAGAACTTCTGTTCCTTGTAGTGTCACTTTTTTGTTTTGGCATTTTTTTTTGTTGCTTCTCCTTTAAATCTTGCACTCTGCACGTGCAAAACGGTACAATGTACATGCTTGAAAGACTACTTTTGGTTGTCCACTTTGCCATTGTGTATACGTAGTTTGTTTGCCTTGCAAAAAAATGCTTCTGATATTGACATCACTCTTGCCTCCAACAAACAATAGCAATGCGTATTATGTCAGATTCCAAAAAAGCTAAGAAAGTAAAATGTTTTGAATGTATGTGAAAGAAATTAAAGGGCCAGTCTGCTTGTACGTGCATATCATGTTGTCGAAAAGGGGAAAATGTTTGAAAATTGATTTCACGGTGAAGAAGCCTATCATGCCTATTTTATATACTAACCTCTTCTATCTCCTCTCCGTGGATAGGCTCTGTGGGCCCACACCTCCAATAAACACACCCTTGAACAACGTTCATACGCTTATTACCTAAATCAATAGTAAAGCCTAATGAAGTAGTAAAATACAAATGTGTATAATGTCTAAGAAACTAAGTAAATAAGCGACACTACTTGATACACATAGGAATAAATGTCACCTAGCCTACAGTAAGTTATGGGCCTACAACAAGTATGACCATACACAACAGCAGTAGAAGATGCTCTGGCTCCTACAGCTACATGCACTACAGGCTGCATACTAAGAAGCCAGTAGAGACCACTCAAGTGTGAACTTAACAATACTGAAGGAATGCTATAGACAAATTTGCATCTAGCAAGACTAGGGTGCTCTATTTATAAATACGGGTGATCAAACTCCTGTAGACTGGCATGATCTATTTACAAAAATAGGGGTGATCAAAAAGAACACTACAACGGCATATGATATATGCATTATTCATGATTATTGGTAAATCTGTATGTCTTGTCGTATTTGTGCTTTTGGAGAAATAAGATTATTAAAGGGTGCATCTTGAAGTTGATTCACATCACACAAGATCATGTCCAAAGGGAATGGGTTTTTGTTTTGGGCAAGTTTGATGAAAATGTTAGATTTTTGATTGGTTTAACGTCTTTGTAGAAACAAAGTTTATGGGATTTTGGGGGAATAAAAATGTAGCTTTTCAGCTGATGTTGGAAAAATAAAAATGGCCTTCCACTGGACAACTGTTCACATTTTATATAGTTAAGACGTAATCTATGGTGTGGCACATGTACATTTGCAGGGGTTGTAGCTGTTCAGAAGTGGACAAATCGATTAAGTTATCCTGCTGCCGGTGACCAGAAAGCAGGGTTGACCATCTAAATCGACTTGATTTAAAGCACTGGTTAAGAGTGCAATTTAAGTTCAGTGACTGGTAAATCAAATTTATACTAACTTTTTTGTGTGTTTAAAAATTGGCAAAACAGTGTTGTAGTTTAAATGTTTAGACTGGGGATTGATAACCTTTAGGGCCACAAGTCTCAATCATAAAGGATACAGCTAAGGTTTTCAAGCTGAGCGCAGGTAAAGGTGCCTTAGGCAGCTGCCAAATGACCCCTATCTAACCGGGGGGGGTTTAGGGAGAGCGAGAGCAGAGAATCCGGAGAATCAACAACCACCTCTACTCACACATGGCCTGTTAGACACGGACTTGAACCCAGGCTTCTGTGTTGGTGAGAGGCCAATGTTAAACACCAGTTCCTAGCACAGGAGAAAATGCAATGCAATAAATGCACGTACAGTTGAATTATTGATTCGGCCTTCCATTTGTTGATTTGCAACTTTTTCGTCATGTCACAAAGAATTCCGAGTGTCAGTGTACATGTAAAGGGTGTCCAGTAAAAGGATAGTGGAACAATCAAAAGTTTTACTAAGTTTCACTCATTTTAAATGGAAAATACTGTCGCCGAGCCTTTCAGTACATGTACCTTTTAATCAGATCCGTGCATGCAAATGTACAAGTAGCAGTTGGGGTTGTAGCAGTGTTTTTAAGAAGTGCTTTTTCCATATCTATTTTCTGTTCAAAGCACGAATACGGGCGATTTTCAATAGTGCGCCTCCAAGAATTTGCAACGCGTTGACCAATCACTGGCATGAAATCTGTCGACCCTTTCCAAAGGCGCGTATTCGGTTGACAGATTTGGCGCACTGTGATTGGTCAACGCGTTGTAAACTCTTGGGGCGCACTATTGTGAAACGCCCGTATTAGTTCAATCATGCTTTAAATTAACTTGATCAGAGTGGTCAACTCTAAATTAAACATAATACATGTAGTGTGATAAGGTTAAACCAACTGTACTTCTTTAACTCTAGTTTAATTTATCAGTATTAGAAATGTATCATTATATA